ACGTTGCCATCAAGCTGATCAGCACGGTGGTCGCTGCATCGGTTGCTATGATTACCGCTGTTTGAATGAAACAATAAAAAGATTGTTAGAAACCACAAATTGTTGCAAATAACAAATCTTGACGTAAATGTCACAGCATATGAATGGATCGTGACTTACCATTGTCGTAGTCATCGTCACTGTCACGGTCAGGCTTATCAGTATCAGGACCAACGACTGGACAGTATTCATTGTAAACTATTTCGTCCTGGTTGTTCGCACAGTTATTGATACCATCACAAGTGAGATCATTGCTGATACAATAGTTATTACCACAATCAAACATTCCCTGGTTGGTGCATTCTGAACTATTAACTGAATAAATGAATATATTGCAAATATCAAAACTAACAATTATAATATGTAAAATTATGTTTTAGATTATTCGTAACAATTCCGCAACGCTGGGCTACGGCTTCCGGAGATTAGCACAAGTTGATCATCAATGGGTCCTTTTATTAGTATATTAAATATTAAAGAATCGTTCAGAAAGTGGAAAAACGTATGAAAATTGTCCCAACAGCTGACTTGATAAATGCATGGGCGAAACAACACGAAAGGATACACGTCCTATGATTGGCACTGTTTTTTCTACCGTTTGACCTTCTTTCGTTCATAATATTGTCATGATTTGCTGATCGAATTGGACGAAATATTTGCATATTCATTTTTGTGATGGCTGCAATAAACGTACATACTTTTGTCGCTCCCAAAAAAATGTGGCGCCGCGCTCTAATTATATATTCATCATGTCATCCTGCATATTAATGGTAATCAGGATTTTGTTTCGTTCCATGCATTTAGCAAGTTCGCTACTACATCAGTTTTGTTATGTTCTGTCATATAAAAGCAGGACCCACGTGATCAGAACGAAAGAATGACCGACATTTAGGATTTTAAGATGGCCCCCATCAGTACGTAAACAATGTAATATATTTGCTCTTGGGACACCTGTTGGACCCGATAATGTAATAAATTCCCGATAATGTAACACGAATTAACCGATATTGTAACAAAATGCAACAGATAGTGTTTTATCTTATTGAAAAACATAGAAATAGTGCCTAAAATTATGTTACGTTTCAGGGTGTTGTTGAACCCGATAATGTAACAATTACCGATAATGTATCATTAACCGATAATGCAACACGGTATTAACCGATATTGTAACAAAAACCAATAATGTACAACATGCAACCGATAGTGTAACAAAAAAGGCAACCGATAATGTAACACAAAATAACTGAAAATGTAATAGATTATTTTTCCAACTGATAACGTAACAAGATGATTACCGATAATGTAATAATACGTATATTTGCATTGAAATTGTTCGCCTTTTCTAGAACGACGTGGGAATTACTGTTTTTTACACATACCATCAAACACAAATTGATTGCAAATCTTCATGTTCAAAGGTTGTGTTCGGGGTTGCTATGAAGACATTAAGAATTATGTGGCATCCCCCAAAAAATATGGAGGATCATTTTGAGTGGGTGTAAAATGTGTTTTGTGAAACGGCAAAATATTATGTGTTAATGATGTGACTACCCACTACTATATCTCCAGCATTCCACATCGGTGTACATGTGGGAACAGGCAGTGGTATAACTGGAACATTGTGTGTGTGGGAGTAGTCAACACATATTCCTATCGAACAATGTACACAACGCCACCACTCTTTTTATAAACCCGACAAACTGTTTTGAGTCATGTGAACAACATGGAAAATACACTTGACGGAATTGGTGATCTACGACCAAACATCGGTAGAATGTGTCTATAGCATGCATGCATAATAATGTGTAGAGTATATAGCTGACAACTACTTTGCTCAACTTAACCAATTAAAAATTTTCTAAATTTATATGTTCATACATGTGGATTAGTTTATTTGAGTACAAGTTTTGGTTATATAATAACCTCGTTTTGGAATTCAGCCAAGTATCTCCTTGTACAATAAACGATCTTTCAACATTAAAATCATAGTACCAGTGACACATCACCCAAACAAAGATCAGTTCCAAATGACACCAACTCTGAGCCAGAATTCTTATTTTAGTTGTGAATGTTATTGTTTTTGTGATGAAAGTAACAACAATAAAAACTATAGAAAAAGTATATTTAATGATAGAAATTTTTATTACAATGTTGAAACGATTAGAAAGCTGTTATCCCATGTGTTTTAATTCAATTTAGGGTCCCAATTATTTAGATTTGTCTATCTTATAATATTGAAACAGGAAGTCAATATTGTGGCATCAATCTAAAATGCGTACATTGTTTCTAATACGAATGGCCTGCTCGCCCTAAATCTGTTCCCCTCGCGGCACAGGGGAATATGAATTGGTGGGCTCGCCCGTCTCATTTACAATAAATATAATAAAAGTTTCGCAAGTTGCCATGTAATACAAAAATGGTTTAATATATAATTTTCAGAAAAAAGAAGTAATCCGAGTTAATTAGGCAATTACAATGATGAAAATGGGATCCCTGTAAATGAATCTTGTGTCACGACAAAACATTGAGAGCGCCCGCTGATAGTAACTGAACCTTTTAACGCTCAATTATGAACCACAAATATAACTTCCGGGTCAGACAATTTCGGGCCTGCGTACGACATGTATGACTTTCCCTCAATGTATGGGTGACATAGTAGGTCCTCAATCCCTTTAGAATACCTTCGTATACACTGATACAACTGCCAAGTTAAAATGTTCAGTTAATATTTTCCGCCTTCACTTTCTCAGTTCACTATTTTGATCCATCGGCCATAGGATATGGAAAGAGGACATTATCGGATGAAGCTTACTATACAATCCAATCTTTTTAGATGGGTCGTTTGATGTCCCAGTATCAAACTGTACAACGACACAAAGTCAGCTATCGTCAAATTCTATCGAGGTAAATGGGTGTAACAACTGGATGCAAATCTGCCAAGAGTCATTGAAACGGCAATTTTGGTTGTATTAGTCCATCAGCTTGGCCGGCAAAAATCCCACTGCTTGGTAATCATGCCAACGTACAGTGGTTTATTTCATTTCAATCTTTTAAGGGTTATCCGTTAGAAACCACGGGGCTTGCACAGGAAAAAACACGGAAAAAAATAGCACAAATCTAAATGAAGGGAAAGAAATCATAGTTTTTCTGCCATCACCCCAGAGTTTCTAATAGTCCACCTCATACCACATGAATGTCACGAGGTAGGCTAGCGTCCGACCATAGTTGTGATAACAGGCACGGCCATTTACGTCGTGATGTGGGTTCTTTAGCACTTTTCAAATTATAATATCGAAATAAGCCAGCTGATGGGTTGGTGGCTCATGTACACAATGAAATACGCAGTAATGTCGCAAAGTATGTTTTAGTTGTACAACAATTTTACGATATCCTTAGTACTCAGGGAAACGTGAATTCATTGTACCATAGAAAAATTACCACACATAGGCAACCCATATAAACATCCCAAAACTGACTGATTCTTGGCGGGGAAAGCTCCCCCAACATACATACAGAACGACGACACTACCTAACGGGCTGATATAAAATACAATGCTATTACAATCAGCACTCCCGAAAATAAAAATACAATACTTTCGCCAATAAATTACACAAATAATTACCATAAATAATATTTAAAACACAGCCAATAATCCCTAGCCTAATATGTGTGTAATGAGTGCAAGAATTACCGGCTTCTGTCGGGCGATAGTAGAAACGTTGCTACACATACCTTTAGCTCGAAACCAGGCCTGGTTTCTTGTAGATTAATTCGTAGAATTGCACGTAGTATACGAGTCTAGTCTGCCACTGTCCCTAAACAACGTCCGTCGACTAGGCGAGTAACATGCACACCACGTAGAGATGGATTTATTCTCCACGTTCACACACACCGCCTCCCTGGCTCTGACTGCTGTCTTCTTTCGTACTGTTAGTGTCTGCCTCGCCTCCTGGGCTGTGTCGGCAATTACTTTTTATGACGTCCCCCCTGGCATCATTGTCATGACAACTAAGCATATTTAAATTCGCTTGCAGATATCACTCAGCACAATCATTCTTAGGAACTACTAAACAGGTAGCGGGGGGGGGGGGCTAACCGTGCGATGCATAACGTCTGACCATTCGTATTCATTTACGACACGCGTCTTTTGTGAGTAGAGTAGAGTCGTGACATGTGTGTCAAAATCTGTTGGCTATAATAATCCCACTTCTGGCTGTACAATAAATAAATGTGTTTCATGACGAACTATGTAGCAATTAACTTATGCACGGGTTTCTCAAATGTTGGTATCATTGAGACTATTCAATTTAGATCCCAGACTTAAAGGTTAAGTCAAGGCTAACAACATAACACTACTAGATGAAATAGCTTGACAAATGTAAGAGCAAGCAATTTACAGTTTATTTATATCACTTTTCATTCTCTAGATAGGTAGTCCGCCATCTTAGTTCTTCAGCAAACGATTATAGGTAAAACATGACATCATATCCACTGTTGTCAGAAATTGCGAAAATGATTTTATCTACAACTTCAAAAGTTGAACTTCAAATTGGCTGAAAGTTTAGTACATGGTATACATATACCGGTACATATAAAATAGTTGTCATGGCAACAGTACTGAAAATATTCATTTTTGTGTTTTTCTACCAAATACTCAAATTATCTTATATTGTATACAATTTATCGATGTGAGTAGGTTATATCGGTGATATATATATATATCCTGCTGACGACAAAAAGGGGAAAAGTGTCATCTAGTTTTAACGACTAAAATAATGATTTTTATTTTGTTACATTTGTGGCAATATCTTCACTTTATGTGTATTTGTAACATTCTAATATCCATTATTATGCTCAGCGAAAAGTTGAACAAATTCCCATCAGTATTTCTAATGTTATAGACGAAAGCATTTTTTAAATTGTTCACAACAGTGGTAATCCTTTGCCGGAGATTCAAGACGGCGGACTATATAATATTGATGATAGGTCGAATATCTAGAGAAAGAAAAGTGATATACAAAAACTGTGAATTGCATTCTCCTACATTTGTAGAGCTCTTCCCCAAGGAGCATTATGTTGTCTGGCTTGATTTCTCTTTTAACTCACTGGCGGGTCCGAACATTTGGAAACAGGGGGAGGGGGTACTGCTGACTAACTGTCTAGTTGGTGGAATAGCTTTGATGCTTGAAACATTTTTGTCCTCATATAATAAAGAAATTTTATGAAAATAGAAATATATGAAACTACAGATAACCTCACATGAGGTTTCTAATTTCTGAATGGATCCATTTCAAAGCATATATATTTACTAGAAAGAAAGATTAAAACAAACGACATAGTAGATTTACTTTATAGACTGACTATTAAGAAAACTGCAAGCATTGTTTCTTCAGTTTTGAAAGCTTGATCTTTGTCTTATTTAATTGGGGGGAGGCTTTACTCTATCCAATCTACTTTTCCGTAATAGTCACAGTTTCCCTTGTGCGGATTACTTTATTCCAAATATACCGCCCCATCCAGCGTATTTTATAATTGTAAGCACCATTCTGTCTACAAAATATAAAACACCAGACAATAGTCAAGTAGTGTGCAAGTAGATATTATTCTTATTTTCTTAACTGAATCAGTGATGTAGCTAACTGCTTCCTATTTGCAAGCCGTAATAAATACAGTCTACGCCATGGTAATTTACTATGACAACAAGCTACGAGAAAGTGAAATAAAAACGTGTGTAGAAAAATCGTTTAATGAAACAAAAGGATATGGTAGTAGGAAACTAAAATATCATATTCCGTCAAACTTACAATGGAATCAGTGAGGAACAAATACAATCAATCACGAACTCATACACGCTTGAAAGCATGATTCACAAACAAGCCAGTTTTTAAACCCATAACCGCCCGTGGGATACAGATAAGGCACCAAATCGATCTGGTTAATATGCATCCGGTTGAGCTTTGGCTTGGTAATCAGAAGTACAGATACATCATGTCACTAATTGACGTGTTCAGTAGGTACTTGTGGTTGCATCCTTTAACTTCCAAAAGGAGCGGTGAAATTGCTGATCATTTAAAGACCATATATAGAGAGCATGGCCCTCCGAGGTCCTTGCAGAATGATAATGGGAAGGAATTTCAGGGAAGTTTGCAAACGTTGATGAAAAATCTGAAACATGTGAAAAAAAGGACTTGCTCGGAAGAAAGATCTGCACAAACTCACTGAGAAACGTATATGCATGTTTGCAAAAGTATCTCAGTCGAATGAGAAATATAATGCTCATATCGTATCCAGTGGGATAAGAGGTCGACCACCCTCAGTATACGAAATAAACGAAGAGGATTTGGTGCGTGTGCGTCATCCCCCAAAAAAGGCCAAGGCAAAACTACATCAGGAAGGGTCGGATTCTGTCAAGAAATCTACATATCACCAGATACAAGATTATGTTTAATGACAAGGACTTAATTACAATTGATTGGTATTCTTTAAAGGACATCACCAGTTTGACTTAAGCGGCTGAACGTAAACGCCAAAAAATGGTTTCTAGTCTTGTGGAAAACAAGAAGAAATACTATATTCCGCAGAGTAGAGGAGATTGGATTAACAGGTATGGATTTATCGTGGATCTGGAGCCCAACG